TTGAAATAGGCTCAATACTAGTAGTATATGTTAGTGTCCATTCAGGGCCAGTGATACCATTGGATGGGAACACTAGATTCCTTCCTACTCTAACCTGTAGGTGTATATAATGAGACTGTGTATCAATGAGGAATATTCTTACTCTTAGTGCTAATGTGGTACCTGATGGCTTGTTGGGTGGCCTACAGGTAATCTCCTATTTATAAGGTTATTTGATATTAGTATTATATGCAGAAACCACTTACAGTATTGGAGGTTGTTCTAACAGTACAAATATTAATGATGTCTCCTAGTGTAATATTAATCTCTGCAGAGCTAACTGATTCAACATTCATTCCCTATTTAGCAAAGTAGATTAGTTTATACATGAAACTACAACTCACTAGAATAGTAATGTCATTCACATCATCAACTAATATAGATCTTGAGTCAGCATCAATACCAGTAAATATTGGATTACGTTGCAGTGTTAGTCTCAGACCTGCATTCATGTAATTGGGTGACTCTGCTCCGTTTAACATCAGCATGTACTCAATAGATGTTCCATAGTAACTGCTGTCTACTACATTAGTAATATTAGGAGCATTACATATTAGCATAGTACCAGTACCATTAGTGATACAAGGCTGTGAAGAGGTACATTACTATAGAACAAGAACACTATACTGACCTCAACACTACTAGGAATCAGTCTACTATCATTGATAGTAATAGTAGGAGACTGAACTGAATTTAAGTTAGCACCAGTGAATACTAGTTGAATACCACCACTGTATACAATAAGAGTGTAAATAAAGAGTATTTATCTACTAGTATATATACTTACACTGGTATTGTGATCATAGGACTAATACTATCAAATCTAGGATCTGGTCTATATTGGTAACTTATACTAGTGTTAGAGAATGAAGCTCCATCGACTGATACTATTACATTCCTCATACAGTTAGTATCATTATTACTACCAGTATCACAGTTGATCTCAGTATTAGTGATACTCCTATTAATCTTCACAATAGTTTATATACCAATTTATTGCTTACACGATATTACAGTTAACATCAGGACATGTGTTTCTCTTCTTTCTTGATGATGATTCTCTCAGTATTACTCTAATCATTTCTTTATTACCAATATCAAAGTTAGTACCTTGTACTCTTATTCTAGTACCACCACTAACAGGACCAAATGTAGGACTCACTGATCGAATGACTGGTGTTAAGAACTGGAATTGAGCCGTACTATTGGCAGTCTCATTACCACCGGATCTGATCACTCTTATCCTAATAGTCTCATTCCTGTCCATATTATCACTAGCATCAGGAACAATAGTACACCTTATCCTTTTTCCTGGTTGATATTCATCAAAAGTACAGTTTCTACTACCAATCATAACAGACTCTATATCAGAGCGTTGTGTACCAAGATTAGTTCCATCAATAAAAATGGTTGTTCCACCTCTGGGGGGA